GGAAGAAGATGGATGGATGGAAAAATGATTAATTATTCATGCAACTTCTATAAATCAGAGTCAAAACAGTGTAAACCAAACGTGTTCTATCATTTTGAATGCAGTGTAGTATGATACAGTGTAATGAGAGAAATGAACCAAATTAACTCAAAGAAACATTTTTTTTTGCTGTGTAAATGACTGCTAATTAACTTAACTATGGGACTTATAATATAATATAATAGTCTATAATGATCTGTTAATGGCATCTGATGCAGGGAATTATTCTGTGATCATTTTGCTTGATCTTAGCGCTGCCTTTGACACCATCGACCACAAAATCCTACTTAACAGGCTCAAGGTTTTGGCTCTGCCCTAGACTGGTTTTCTTCCTATTTATCAGACAGGACCTTTTCTGTTGGGACTGACAGGTGGGGTCCCACAGGGTTCAGTTTTAGGTCCCTTATTATTTTCTTTTTATATGCTTCCTTTAGCTGGTATCATTCAATCTTTTAGCGACCTGTCTTATCATTTTTATGCTGATGACATTCTGCTCCATATGTCCTTTAAGCCTCATCACCCTAGTCCAGTGCTTAACTGAGGTTTCTGATTGGCTTTCAAGCAGCTACCTCGTTCTAAATACTAACAAGACTGAGACCATGATCATAGCTCCTCCTGAGCTACAGTCTAAAATTAGTCAAGTCCATCTGTCAAGTCAAATATTTGAAATCTTGGAGTAATATTCGACTCTTCTCTGGGCCTCGACTCTCATGTAAAATCTTTGTCCTGTTACTATCATTTAAGAAACATATCTAAACTGCGACATATGGTTTCTTCAGCTGAAATGGAAAAACTCATTCATGCATTTGTGTCATCACGCTTAGATCACTGTAATTCCCTGTTTACTAGTTTGGATAAATCATCTCTGTTTCGTCTCCAGGCAATACAAAACGCAGCAGCCAGACTACTAACTCGTTCTACCAAGCGTGTTCACATTACTCCCATCTTATATTCTTTACATTGGCTCCCAATA